GTTTCCCAAAGCCAGGCCCAGGGCGAGGAGCCTGGGGTTCCCGGGCTCCGACCCTGGCTGCCACTCCCCTGGCTGGGGCGAGTCCCGTCCCCTCTCCAGCCACAGCTGGGCTGACCTTCAGGCTTCTTCCGGCCCCGAAGCGCCAGCCAGGACACCCGTAGTGGGTCCCCTGGCAGAGGGAATTCACTCTCCCTTTCTCACTTTGATGGTCTAAGTAACCGCAGCCGAGCATGTGAGAGCCGAGTGAGGGCCGTCACCACGCGGTCTCTTCCGCGTCCTGGCTTCTCTGGGCAGCAGGAGGAAGAGCTGGGCTATTTGCCGGCCGGGTGTTGACCCGAGAAGGGCAGCCAGGCCGCCAATCTGTACTTACTGGGCTGCCATGTTAGTGGTGCATGTTCAGACCAACTTTATCACGCGGAGTGCGGGGCTGAGCTCAAAACCAAGGGCAGGGCAGAGTCAATGAAGGCAGAAGCCACTGTTGGTACAGAGAGGATGGGCAGGGTCTGGTACTTGCTAGGAACGACCTGGGACTAAACTAAGGCAAAAAGAACGGCCTGGTCCGGCCGGTGTGGCTCTGCTGTTGAGCATCGACGCAGGAACGAAGAGGTCTCGGGTTCGATTCCTGATCAGGGCACATGCCCGGGTCATGGGCTTGATCCTCAGTAGGGGGCGTGCAGGAGGCAGCCAATAGATGTTTCTCCCTCATCGATGTTTCTATCTCTCCCTCTCTCTTCCTCTCTTTTTTTTTTTTTTAAAAAAATATTTAAAAAATGGCCTAATTATTTTTTAAATATGTTATTATTGATTGGCTGCTTCCTGCACACCCCCTACTGGGGTTGAGCTCACAACCCAGGCATGTGCCCTGACCAGAAATCGAACCTGAGACCGCTTGGTTCCTGGGTCAACGCTCAACCACTGAGCACACCGGCCGGCCTCTAATTCTTTAAACTGGCCCTTGAGTAGGATTCACGTGAGGCACCTGTCTGACACTGCGATCCGGGAAGGTTACCCGCCAGGCACCTGGCCTCCTCGCCCTGGGCCCCGGCTACATGGGGCAGTTGTAAACATTGTTTCCTTGGGGGTCTTCACCTGAAAAGGAGATGAAGAGGCTGCAAACCCAGCTGAAGTCTGTAGCTGTTGGAACAGTTCTCCTTTGTTCGCGGCACACAGCTGCGGAGGATGTGAATGGTGAGAAGCACAATATGGAAGCCCGCGTGCCGTTTCCTGCAGGACGAGCTCAGTGTCCTCACAGGACCGCAGGCTGCCAGAGGAGCCCTTTGCAGGGTCCCAGGGCGTGTCCGTGTTGGCATGTGGGAGCGGGCTTCTCTGTGGGCGTCAGCCTGGCCCACAGCCCCGAGCAGGAGGGGACAGCCTCAGCTGGTGGTGTTGGCTTTAACCCCCGGACGCCAGGAGCCTGTGAGAGGGATCAGGGCCCGGGGTTGCTGACGGGGCCCTGTCTTTTGGAGAGACCCTGAGCTTACTCAGAACAGCCAGGGCTGCCATCTTCCTACCCCCTAGCAGGGTCAGAATGGCCAAGCAAACAGCCAAGAAGGGGCCTGGCCCGCTCCCCAGTCCCCAGGGACCCCCCCCCCCAACCCGGCTGCCTTGCCAGCCTTTCACCTGCAGGCTCTCCTTCCTCTTACAGGAACCTGCGCGAAACCCTTGAAATGAGTGGCTGTGCCGCAGAGAGGAGCTGAAACTAGGACAGCCCAGCTGAACAGGACTTAGAGCCCAGGGGGACAAGATGACCTGGAAATGACTCTCCATGTGCCTCCCCCACCTGCTTCTCCTTCCTCCCTGAGGCCCAAGGTGGAGAGGGGCTTATTGCCTCCCTGCCTGTCCACCGATGCTTTGAGAAAACCCCCGAGACCCCGAAACGCTGGCTGCTCTGCCGGGATTCTCCCAAGGGCTGCGTTGACAGCCAGGAGCGCACAGGATGCTGGAGGCTCTTTACACAAAGGCTGCCTGCAATTTGCATGTCATTTCCCTCTGCACGCTGTGCCACCCTCCCCGGACCTGCATTCAAGTTAAAAGCATTTGTATGGCTCTCTCCACGGAGGTCGCTTCTGGTTTTTTTCCCTCTTGCCTGTGCCATCTCCTCCCCCAGGCCTTCTCCCTTTCTCCCTGGCCCAGATCTCCAGCGAGGGAGCCAAGTGTGTGTGTGTGGGGGGGGGGGGGGGTGCGGGGCCGGAGAGGCATGCGGGACTAGCAGCCAGAGGACCTGCTCCCAGGGCGTGGCTGCTCCTCTGCTCTTTGCCCTGGACACAGGCTGAGGTCCTCTTCTCACTGTAACACTGCGTGATGACATCGTCGTCGGAAGTGGGGCTCGGACTCAATTAGTTCACAGGAAGCCTCTGTGATCTAGAATTTTCTCTGAGCTTTCCCCAGTGCCTTGTTCTTCTGCCTCATGACCCCAGGCAGCTGGCTATCGCTGCTTCTTCTTCTTCTCCTTCTCCTTCTTCTTTTAAAAAGTATTTTTATTGATTTCAAAGAGGAAGGAAGAGAAAGAGAGAGATAGAAACATCAATGATGAGAGAGAATCATTGATCAGCTGCCTCCTGCATACCCCACACTCGGGATCCAGCCTGCAACTCAGACATGTGCCCTGACTGGGAATTGAACCGTGACCTCCTGGTTCATAGCTTGACGCTCAACCACTGAGCCACGCCGGCCGGGCTATGGCCTCTTTTTCTGCACGAGCCCTGGTTCAGTTATTGCTTGGCTACCCCGCAGGCCACTTCATGCTCAGACCTGAGTCTGAAGGTACACAGGGTTAGGGTGCCGATTTGTCCAACTCAGAACCCAGTGCTTTTTCTCTGCCTGCGTTCCTCCCACCATAAAACGGGGGTGTTAATAGCACGTGCATTATAGGGTTGCTGGGAGGGATGCTGCGGTGTGTGAGAGCTTGGGAAAGAGGGCCTGGCTCGCAGAGAGTGCGCGGTAAACGCCACTGTGTTTCTGAGCTTGTTTCCTTTACTGCCCCAGGCATTGATTCATGGCGCATTCATGGGAAGAGAAACCTAGTTACAGGATTGGGGGGCTGTTAGCCAAGATGGGGAACGAAGCGGTTTCCCAGGCTCAGTGAAGGCTGAGGTGGAGCCAGAGCAGATCCTTGGGAGCCACAAGAGTGAGCTGCCAGCCCTGGCCGGGCAGCTCAGGTGGTTAGAGCATCATCCCGATACCCCAAGGTTCTGAGTTCAATCCCCAGTCAGGGCCCATACAAGAATCAACTAGTGAATGTGTAAATAAGTGAAACAACAAATCGATGTCTCTCTCTCTCTCCCCCCCCTTCCCTTCCTCTCTCTCTCTAAAAATTAATAAATAAAAAAAGAAAAGGCTGAGGCCTGATTGAGCCACACCCAGGCCTGGCTCTGCCTGGGAACAAGAAACCCTCAGACCCGGGTAACCCCCGCGGCATGGTGCTCCCTTTACAACGCGCTGGGAGCAGGAGGAACAAAGGGTTCTGAGCAGAGCCCAGGGTTTCCAGCAACAGTTTGCCCTGGGATGTGCTGGAGGCCTCATGGGTTCTGGACTCTTCATGACTCGCCGTTCACCTTTACCGGTAATTACAGGTGGGACCTGTGTGTGGTGAGAGGTGTGTTGGGAGGACACCAGTTCCCACCCAAAGGCACGTCTGGAAGCCTTGGTGGTTAGGCCAGGGCTGGAGGGAGGGCTCTGGGCCTGCAGGCGGCTGCCGTCAGCGGGTCCCAGCCAGGGACTTGCCCGCAGCTCGGCCTCCTCAGTGTCAGTCAGTATAAATGACCCCAGATACGTTCCTCCATCCTGGGACCTTGGAGAAGACCAAGGCAAGTGGGCGAAGGTGCCTTTAGCTCCAGGTTTGCTGGCTGCCGTTGAAAAGAAGGTGATGGGAAGTGTAAGCTGTCCTCAGGAAGAGGTGAGTCTATAAAATGGCATTCCAGACCCAACCAAGGGGGCCTACGCTCCGAGCTGGACGACCCACCTTGTTGAAGAATTGGGAACGCGTGATCTCGCAGCTGGAGTTTTTGCTGATCAGTCCGCCCTCTCAGGAAAACACACACAAAATACACCAGACCCACAGGTAAAAAGAAAAGGTCTGAAACACAGGCAGTGTCTGTAATTAAGCTTTGGGGTGACGTCTTCTGTCTGTCCACGCTCCCCACCGGTGGGGGTGGGGTTTTGGAACCAGGCCTTCCCCAAGTTTCCAAAAGAGACAGCCGGGGCTTGGGTGTCTTTATTTATTTATTTTTTTAAATATATTTTTATTGATTGCAGAGTGGAAGGGAGAGGGAGAGAGAGCCAGGAAATCAATGATGAGAGAGAATCATTGTTTGGCCGCCTCCTGTAGCCCAACACACGGGATATGCCCTGACGGGGAATCGAACCTTGACCTCTTGGTTCATAGGGGGACGCACAACCACTGAGCCAGGCGGTCCAGGCCTGGCTGTCCACATCGCACCTCGGGCCGACACCCTCCTCAGCTCAGGGCAGCCGCGCTGGCCCGGGACCCGTGAACAGCATTGCAGGGTCAGCCGTTTGCAGGTGCTGCCCGAGATGGCGACGTGGTCCCCGCGGGTCACCGGCACTGGTCACCCCTGGGTGATGTGGTCGGCGGAGCACTTTGGGGTTGAGGCGCCTACTGGGGGGTGAGATGGTCCCCGATACCCCTCTGCGAGCGCCCCTCTGCGGGGTCCTGACCATCACCGCCGGCTCTGCAGATGCTGCGCTGGGCTGCCTCGCGTGTGGGGGACAATGCGGGGCGAACTGGGCCGGCCTCGCGCCCCCGGTAACCTGAGCCGGGCGAGCAGTCTCCGGCCGACCCCGCGCCCCCCGCCCCGCCCCGCCCCGGCCGGCGGCCCCTCCGCCGCATCCCGCCGCCCATTGGCTGGCGCCGCGCGGCCGCTCCCGCCCCGCCGCGCCATTGGCCGTGGCCGCCGCGGTCCCGGCGCGGAGCCGCCGCTGACATCACGCGTCCCGAGGCGGCGGCGCCCCCGGCCCCCCGCAGCCCCCCTCGCGCGGCGCCCGGCGTGCGGGGCGGAGGATGGTGCGCGGCGCGCCCCGGGCTCCCCGCCGCCAGCGCCGCAGCGCCGAGGCCGAGGCCGAGCCGGCCGCCCCGGGCAGGCGACCCCCGCTCCGGGCGCGGGGCGAGCGGCCGCGCTGAGACGCCTCGGGCGGCGCGGGCGCCGCGGCCATGGGCGCCCTGACCAGCCGACAGCACGCGGGCGTGGAGGAGGTGGACATCCCGGCCAACTCCGTGTACCGCTACCCGCCCAAGTCCGGTGAGGGCGGGTGGGGCCCCCGGGCTGGGGAGGGGGTCGCGGCGCTGCGGGGCGGGGGCCCTGGGCGCCCTGGGGACCGAGCGGCCCCCGTGGCTGCAGAGCGACCCTGGAGCGGCCGGTCGCTGCGGGCGCGCAGGGGTGTGGAGGGGCTGGGGGGTCGCGGCGGTGGGCGGCCTGCGCTCACGTTGTGCTGTGACAGCGACGCGTGCCCGGGGCCTGCGGCTCCCGAGGGGCGGGGTGCCCAGGGCGCGGGCGGGTTCCCTTCCTTCCCTGCCCAGACCCCCTTTTCCCTGGGGAGCTGCAGGCAGGGGAGGCGCGCCTGGCATGGGAGACAGGCACCTGTGCTGGGTGCTGGGTGCTGGCCCTGGCCGAAGCCAGGCCCCGAGGGGCACAGGCGCGGGTTTGCGTTGGGTTTCTCATGGCTGCTGGGGCTGCTGAGGCCGACAGTGCGCGTGCGGTGCTGCTGCGTTTCCAGAGGCTGGAGGCGGGGGTGGGGGTGGGGGTGGGGGTAGTGGGGGGGGGTGTTCAGCAGGAAGGGTTGGGATGGGAAGGGTCACAGTCACCCCGCTGGACGGCCCCTTTGCCCGAGCCGCAGCGAGCCCGGGTTGGGATGGGGGCGCCTCTGGGTCGGGCGCAGGTGTTGAGGACGGACAGACGTACCTGCTTGCTGTCAGGAGCCATGGACTCAAACACCAATGTGGCCGAGGCATCCGAGTTGCAGGGGATTTTGACAGCAGAGGAGAGAGACTCGCCAGTAGCTGGAGCGCCCGCCAGCCCTGAGCTGCTGGTGCCTGCCCAACTGCTCCGTTCCTTGCTTCCTCCAGGACTTTAGGGGACCCCTGGCCGCCCCTTTCTCCGTGGCTCGGGCCCTGATGAGGCCGGCGGCGACTTTGGCGAGGTGTCAGGGTTGGGCAATCGGATAAAGGCTTGCTAATGAGAGGCGCCGGTTCCCGCAGTGCGTCCGCCCTGGTCGTGCCAGGTGAAAGCGGGGACCAGACAGCGAACCTGCGGGGCGCAGAGCGTCTGCCGGAGTCGCGCTCCTCGCTGCGTCTGTGCCAGAGCGTGAGCCCTGCGGTCATGCCTGTGCTTGGAGCTGTTTGGGCACCGGCTGGGGCGAAGCTGTGGCTCATTCGAGATTTAATCACGCTCTGGTCAGCGGTTCTCAACCTGTGGGTCGAACGACCCTTTCACAGGGGTCGCCTAAGACCATCGGAAAACGCATATAAAATTACGTACTGTTTTTGTGATTCATCACTATGCTTTAATTATGTTCAATTTGTAACAATGAAATTGGGAAGGTTGAGAACCCCTGCTTCTAGCTAATCATGACTGTGAAACCGGTGCTAAAGGAAGCACACGTTTTGCTTGTTAACAGATGAAGATAAGCACAAGTCCGTACTTGTGAAAATTTTTTTTTTCTTCTGAAATCACTTAGCTTTTACCGATCAGGAAATGGAGCGTGCTTTGCTGAGTGTGGAGTTTTCGGTGGTTGGCTGCCGCCTCCTTCACCTGTGGGAATTAGGTGGGCAGTTCGCTGGAACGCTGCTCCCCGAAGGATCCTGATAGAAGTATGGATCTTGGGTGATGGTAATGAAAGGGTGATGGACCGAACTAAAACTTTTCTGCCCAGTCTGCATTGACCTATGGACCATGAGGTCACGGTTCAGTTCCGGTCAGGGCACATGCCCGGGTTGCGGGCTCAATCCCCAGTAGGGGGCGTGCAGGAGGCAGCTGATCAATGATTCTCTCTGATCATTGATGTTTCTCTCTCTCTCTCTCTCTCTCTCTCTCTCTCTCTCTCTCTCTCCCTTTCCCTCTCTCCCCCCCTTCCTCTCTGAAATGAATAAAAGTATATTAAAAAAGCAGCACCAAAAAGTTTTCTTAGCCAACACACTCAGTGTCTGTAGTCTTAAACAATCCTCTCCACGCTACCAATTTTTTAAAGTTTTACCTAATTGTTACTCATTTTTAGTCGGAAATATTGTATTCGAGAAATCTTTGCATCAAGTGGACCAAGTTATTTATGTTGAAGGCGAAACACAGAAAACAGGAACCGGAACCTTTGTGTGCTTGGAAATCTGAGTGAACTTGCACGTGTGCCCCCATCTAGTGGCATCTCCCACACTTCATCTGATCTTCGCATTGACCTGGCTCTTCGTGGGGTTACAGTGTTTAGAGCTGAAAGGGATCTTTGAGAGAAGGTGGCCAAGACCCACTCATTTCACCAGCAGGAAAACGGAGGCCCAGAGAAATGAATTGGTTTGGCCAGGATGACCCTAGAGGTAGGGCTTTTTTATTTTTTAAATATATTTTTATTGATTTCAGAGAGGAAGGGAGAGAGAGAGAGAGAGAGAGAGAGAGAGAAACATCAATGATGAGAGAGAATCATCCATCAGCTGCCTCCTGCACGCCTCCCACTGGGGATCGAACCTGCAACCTGGGCATGTGCCCTGATGGGGAATTGAACCGTGACCTCTGGTTCATAGGTCGATGCTCAACCAACGAGCCATGTCCGACGGGCTAGGGCTCTTTTTTAAAAAAAGGTTTTTTTAATTGATTGATTTGAGAGAGAGAAACATCGGTTTGTTCCATTTATGCATTCATTGGTTGCTTCTTTTTTTTAAAAAAAAATAATTGTTTTTAATTGCTTGACATTTGTGTTTCTTTGACCTTGCCATCACAGTACTTGCCCATTTTTTTAAAATATATTTTATTGATTCTTTACAGAGAGGAAGGGAGAGGGACAGAGAGTTAGAAACATCGATGAGAGAGAAACATCGATCAGCTGCCTCCTGCACACTCCCCACTGGGGATGTGCCCGCAACCAAGGTACATGCCCCCGACCGGAACCGAACCTGGGACAATTGAGTCTGCAGGCCGATGCTCTATCCACTGAGCCACACCGGTCAGGGCCATTGGTTGCTTCTTGTCTGTGCCCTGCCTGACCGAGGACCAAACCCGCAACCTTGGCGCATGGGGACGCGCTCTAACCAACTGAGCCACCCGGCCAGGGCGGTGCTCTTATAACCCATCAGCCTCTGCCTTTCACAAGGAATTCGATTTTGAACTTGTCCTTGATGACTTGTGGAATGGAGGCTGCTCTGCCTCAAAACTGGAACAGAACTCAGAGTCCTGTCCCTGCTGAGGAGTCCGACTGGGTTGGTGTCGAGTCTTATCCTGAGTTCTGGTTCCGACAGAGCAGCACAGAGCCGGCTCCCCCAGGGGTGCAGTGGGAGGCCTGAGACTCCCCTGCCTGTGGAGCAGCTGTCCCAGGACAGCACCGTCCTCTGTCCCAGGGTGATGGGCTCAGCGCCCAGCACAAGTTGCTTTTTGGTTTTTGTATTTTTTTTTAAGGCAACCCGCCCGGCCTCTTTGCTCAGTGTTTAGAGCACCAGCCCTCGGACAGAAGGGTCTCGGGTTCGATTCCAGTCAAGGGCACATACGTGGGTTGCAGGCTCAGTCCCTGGCCCCAGTCGGGGTGTGTACGAGAAGCAACCAGTCAATGTGTCTCTCTCACATCGATGTTTCTCTCTGTCTCTCCCCCTCCCTTCCACTCTCTCTAAAAATCAATGGAAAAATATCTTCTGGTGAGGATTCACAGTATAAATAAATAAATAAGGAAACCTTTAGCTTTGTATGTGCATGAGCGGGAAACATTGGGACCCTTCAGTCCGTCCGCAGGCTGATGCTCTATCCACTGAGCCAAACCCGTTAGGGCTCCCTCCCCCCCCCCCTTTTTTTTTTTAACATAATCTCCTATTGATGAATATTTGGGAGATTTTCAGTCTTTTACTATTGCAAACAATGCAGCCACGATTAATGTACGCATTGTTCTTAGGTGATGGTTTTGTTAAGCTATGAATACTAATCAGTTAAGTAACAGAAGGTGTGGTGGGAGTTCGTTCCTCTGTAGCACGTCTGCATTCGCCTAGGAAGCTGTTTAAATAGCACTGTTCTGCATCTGGTTAGGTCTTTGTCGTATTTTCTTTTTGATTTTTATTGATTTTAGTGAGAGAGAAACATTGATTTGTTGTTCCGCTTACTTGTGCGTTCGTTGGCTGAGTCTTGTGTGCGCCCTGCCTGACCAGGGAGGGATTGAGCCTGTAACCTTGGCGCATCAGGACCCTCACCCACTGAGCTACCTAGTCAGGGCCAGGGCCAGGGCCAGGGCCAGGTCTTTGTTTTTAATCCCTACTCTAGGATATGTTTTATTGGAGCGAGAAGGGAGAGGCAGAGAGAAAGAAACATGGATGTGAATCGGTTGCCTCCTCTATACACCCCAGGCAGGGGTCGAACCTGCAAGCTGGGCATGTGCCCTGACCGGGAATTGAACCCGTAACCTCTCAGTGTCCAGGATGATGCTCCAACTGAGTCACTCCGGCCAGGGTAGGTCTTTGCCATTTTTTAGTTAGAAGCTCAACATGCTACTGAATCCTTCTCTCAGATCTTTGCCTCTTTAAAAGCCCACACTCGTTTGTTCAGCAAAGGTGTGACCGTGCTGAGGTGGTGGTTTTTAGCGCATGTGTGCCCATCTTTCGAAGGGGACAGCCATATTGATACGAGTCGTTAGGCCTGTTTCCTCTCTCCTGGAAGAAACGGACATGCTATGAAGACCGTCTAATTCACTTCAGCTTAGCACCTGGCGCATCTAGTTCATTTCCTGCTACGTATTTGAGCAAATTGAAAAATAGGAGTCATTCATTTTGCTCAGATGTTAAGACGTAAACACATAAAAATTCCGAATGGCCCGGCTGGCGTGGCTCGGTGGTTGAGCGTCGACCTATGAACAAGGAGGTCACAGTTCGATTCCCTATCAGGGCACATGCCTGGGTTGTAGGCTCGATCCCCAGTGTGGGGCCGTGCAAGAGGCAGGCGATCAGTGATTCTCTCTCACCATTGGTGTTTCCATCTCTTTCTCCCTCTCCCTTCCTTTCTGACATCAATAAAAACATATTTTAAAAATAAATAAAAATTCAGAATGGTCATCAGAGTCCTGAGCA